AGCCCTTTTTTAACGTCCCACTGCTGGGCACGGGCCTCCCTTCAGTACACATGACTTATGTCTTTTAAAACTTGCTAGGTTTTCTCAGACATGCAGGTTTCCTCACGATGTTTTCCTTCACCGTTAAGGCAAGTGATAATCATGTTGGAAATGATTCGCACATGAAAATATCAGAGGTGCGAGACCCGGGTTTGAACTCGCTTCACTCGGTTACCCAAGCGAGCGCGTTACCACTGGGCTACCACTGCCTGTAAGTAGGTAATAACATATAATAATAACTGAAAAGTATAGTTCGCCAACTAGTGTTATAACAAGATAGTATTTTGCGCCACATTAATATCCTATAGAAAGCACTTGATGTAGTCTAGACTTATCAGTTTATAGACTATCTTTACGTCAAAGCCATATTGATTCTTTGTCCTGAAAGGATGACAAATTAACCAAAATTATTTTTCTAGTGTAATAAGGCCGAAAAAATTAGTGATATTTGGGATATTTTTTTAACGAGGTAGTCATATTTTTTTATTTTCATTTTTCACAAAATGGCGACCGATTGACAGTTTTCCTCAGTTTTTTAACCTCAGCTATTGCAAAAACGAATAAAAAAAGTTGAAAATCGTTTGATAATTACTCGAGTTATAGATGCAACGAATTAGAAAAAGTCATTATGACAAAAGCGTGTTTAAAGTTTTTAGTCCATTTTTATTACTGTAAATCATATATCTTCTAAAATATTTTTACTTACATCAAACTGTTGAGTCCTGCACCATAATATGATGGTTCTTTCTCTTTACCTCCAGTTTTGAAGCGCTCATACGCCACTTGGGACCTATATCTTCACTTTTTTAAATTTCATGCAAAGACTAATCGGTCTCAATAAAATTTTATACTCATACTAGCAGAACCCGCGGCTATGTCCGCGTTCAATCCACAAAAAGCTCTTTGGCTGTATGTTATACAGCGACTCATCCTCTCTTCGCACTGGTTCGTCGCGACGTTTTTATATTGTTCATACAAAAAAAATACTAAAATGGCGACTAAAACAAAGGGGTTGGGGGTAAGAGTAAGGCCAGATTCAACTTTAGCGCCGCCCCTGGGCATTTTAAAAAATACTGCCCTATTATCAAAATTTTGCATAAAATGGGTAAGGTTTCGATAAACATTTTTTTTATTGTAAATTTTTGATTTCAATTTTTTGTTTTTTTTTTAAATAATCTATTTTTGAAAAAAAAGAAAGCGTTTTTAACGCGAAGAGAAATTTTTTTTGCCACCCCTGAAAATTTGCCGCCCTGGACAGTATCCAGATTAGATACATTTAAAAACTCGGACTGGGTTTCTGGACAAATAAACATCTCCAAAGTTTCTGCGAAGAACATCTGCTTTTTATTGGCTTGAAACGTTCGTCTTGGAGCAGTTATTAAAGGATCGGAAGACAAAAGGAGCATGTTGAAAATGTCCTATTTAGAAGCTTGCCTGCTTTTTTCCCGTGAATTATGCTCCCGAAACTTTCTAAAATCTTAAATGCGGGCTTCGGAGGCTTCTTCTGATAGATTCCCGATCGGGACAATATCATTATTTTCGATTATATCTGCTCCATGGATCAGCACCTTATGGACGGTTGATGACATATAATACCAGCCATACAGCTCCACGTACTTCTCTGCTGTCTTGCTTTTCTTATCATGGAGTCTTTGTCAGCGTCCCCCAAAATCTCCTACTTAAAATAATTTCTAGATAAAGTACATTAAATTGTCATTAGTTAATTACAAGTGTTCATATAATCTTGACTTCGTGTTAAATAATTGTAATTCATTATATAAGAGGCTAAAACTGTGTTTTATGGTTACAAGTAAAATTTTTTTAGTAAAAAATGAAAAAAAAAATCATGATTTAAAAAAAACGCAACCGTGACTGTTGTGTGTAGTATTTAAAAAAATCACAAATAATTATTACTTTGACGATCTGACATCTCTAAGGATATTACGGTATTTTTTGCGGGTCCAAAAATAATAAATATTTCTTCTTAGCTCCATACAAAATTTTCGATTTTTTTTTATTATTCATTCGTTTTTGCTCAAAACCGACGAGCATGCCATATTCTAGTACGGTAATTGTTAAATAAACCGACATCCAACAAAAAACACGACCCTTAAAATTCGAAATCTCTAAGTCTATGAAAGTCAATTTTCAGCCCACTGTGGGCCGGGTAGGAGGGTGAAAAATATTTTACGACCTATTCTCATACCTACCAAATATGTATACAAAAAAATCATTAAAATTGGTTGGTTGGAGCCGTTTCGGAGGAGTGGGACCACAAACACCGTTACACGAGATTTTTATATTCTCGATTATCGAGATTATCGAAGGTATAAACTTAAATTAAAACAAAAAAATAATTTTTTGATCCATCACACTGGCTATCCCCCTTAAATTTTTTAGCAGTAAGTATGTGAAAGCAAAGATATCTAAAGTACAGTAGGTACAGGTACCTGTAAAGGAAACTTGTTATATCTATGTGAAGGTGAGGCAATAAAAACCAATAGATTTCTAGAAGAAATCTTTTCACTTACTCTTGCCAGTAGGCACTACAGTCTACAACTAACGTGCAACGAATGCATTTAATTTTTGAAGCTTAGATATCTACATAATATTATAAATAGTATTATTATTGATATGTGATATTATGTAGATACTTATAACTGGCTAGGTATTAGAAGTTTTTCAATATCAATGTAATAAATAATTTATCATATTTCCTAAAATAGCTACATAGTAAGTAATTATTATTAAAAAAATGTCATTTTATAGTTTTTCAGCAATTTTTCGTTTGACGTTTATCTTTATATATATAATTCTTCTGTGAGTGTGTATGTCACTGAACTTCTCTCAAACGACTGGACCGATTTTGATGAAATTTTTTGTGTGTGTTCAAGGGGATCTGGGAATGGTTTAGATTCACAATTGTACACGGTAGGTGGCGCTGCTGTCGGTGTGACAAAGGGTTTGTTTTTTTTAGTAGTTTGATCGCGGGCGAAGCTGTACAGCTAGTTATTATTTATGGTAATAAAGTCATAGCCATAATAGTCAATAAATACATTTTAATTCCAATAATCGTTAATTACTACATGAGTTACAAGAATAAGTATTACAAGTTAACTAATAGTAATTAATTTAAGAGAAAAAGTCCTATAATAAAAATTTGACGATCATATTAAAGTCTCGTTTAAATTGTAATTAAAAATAGTGTAATAAATCTATACTCAATATTATAAATATGAAAGTGTGTTTGTTTGTTTGTTTGTTCTTCTTTCAGGTCGAAACGGAGTGACGGATTGGCGTGATTTTTTATGTGGTGATTGTTGGAGGGCTGACGAGTGACTACTTTTTACCGCGAGAGATTATCGAATTCCCACGGGAAAACACGTTTTAATACAGCCCAAAAATTATTTATGATCATTATAATTAATTGAAATTTGGTATTGATGCTTTACAATATTATTAAATAAATACGTGTTTTAGCATTTTTCGAAATTCATCCCTTAAGGGGGTAAAAATAGGGGTTGAAAGTTTGTATGAGACCTACTTTTTTAGTTTTTTGAAGTCTTAGAACATCAGTACTAATACTAGCAGAACCCGCGAAGCGAAGCCGCTGTGGTATTAAATAAATAAAAAAAAAACCTAATAAATATTTTTTTACCAAAACTGTGTTTCATTAGGGAATCCATCTGCAGATTTTTTTATAAATTGCTTTATTTTAATACTAAATACTGTTCATCCGGTATGCATATAGGTGAAGGACGATCTCACATTAGATTTTCTACTAAAAGATTTTATAAAATTCGACGACACGTTTGACTCAATTTGTGATGACCATACATACTGTGCCAGCGGGCACGGGTTTGAGTCCCGCTGGGGCATTCATTTGCGTGATAAGCACGAATGTTTGTACTCCTGTATCTGATACCCACAACACAGGCCTCGTAACTTACCATGGAACTAGATGGTGCTGCGTATTAATGTCCCAATATATTTATTTATTCCTTATTTATTTTTTTATTACATATATACTTAATGTGTAGGTGCTTACTTATGCTTTATTTAAAAATATATATATCCAGTCGCCTAAAATTTAAATATATTTTTACAGCATTAAATTTAGTATCCATCCTTTAAGCTACAGTAGGACATCACTGCGTTGAAAGTTTCAACTACAAAGTATTCTTTTCAGAGTAGGTACATTTACAATTGCCTTTAAATACCACAAAATAATTGTTTCATTTTTTGAATTTTCTTCTATTTTAACTGAGATAAATATGGTTAAAAATATCTAAGACGTATACATCTGTAACCATAATGTCAACTTGACGAAGTACCAACGGGTAAGGTAGGTACGTACATACCTATAAAGAATCTAGAACGTGTGACGCAAAGATAAATAATTCAATTTATCAGTCAGTTTTGTGGGTGTGTATAGATCATACGATGTGAAATCTAATAGATAATTAATTACATTAGAGGTGTACTAACCGCCATGATATTTAACTTTGCCGGATTACTTTCAGTATTCACTATTCAAGGCTGCTCAGTGCCCACACCCACTGTGGTTGTTTATTTAATTTTATGATCATTCGCTGCCAGTGAGTCGTATTGATTGTACGTGCAACGCGGTAATATTTACGCGGTATAATCGCCGGGGTAATATAAACATTATAGATTTTTTCATCAATTAAAAAATCTATGAAAATGTATTCCATTGCCGAGGCTACATTAGCTTTTGTCGTTCTTTATCTATTCTCCTTCCTCTTTGAAGTCGTAACGGGATTAGTGTCGTAAACGAATAAGTGCATAATAAGAAAATGTGATATTGTAATAATATTTTGTTAAGCTAGGTGTAAGTTTATTAGTCAAATTATCAATGCAATTATAAATAGGTTATAATAAATTATTTAGGCGCGTAAATTTTTTTTTTCATTCCAATACAACAGAAGCTACGGACATAAATGCTAGGGTAAGTATTTAACTAAACCATAATAAAAAAAGTGTGTCCTATTTTAAATTTTTAAAGGTGTAAAAATTAAAAACGTAAGCAATTAGGAGCTTCATACAGTTTATAACTTATCTGCAAAAATATGTTTTTGAAACGAAAGAGAAAATGTTTTTTTCGTTTTGTGATTCTTATTTTTTTAATTGATATTTTTTTGTTGTTCTAAAAGAAAAAAATACCGCACTTACGTTATGTAATATTTATGGATGTAAATATTTATGTGCATATTATGTATTTATAGTTAAAATATTGTTAGTAGAACAGTATTTTTGGATGTTATAATATATTGAGTACCTACCTACCGAGTAGAGTCCAAAGTCCATTGCTGACAACTTACGAGAGAGAGCTGGGCCTTTCGCAAATATTATAATTAAGCATCGCGTCGCGATTTTGTCACAAACATACATTTAAGCTATTTTGTTGTACTAAGTACTTGTATGTAAAAAAATAGAGTTGGTTTTTTCAAATAATTCTATACATATAATAAAAGTGTAACTAACTGATTACTGTCTGTACATGGAAGATATTTGAGTCAACACACAACAAAATAATAAATGTTAGAATTTTTGTATGTTTGTTTGTGCGCTTGTGCGCGCTAATCTCAGTAACGGCTTAACCGATTTGAGTGCTGTTTTCAGAAATGCTTAAAGTTCACTTATCATTTAGTATTTATTTTATTTCAATGGGTTCATAAATAAAAAAAGTTATGTCAATAAGAACCCGAGCGAAGTGAGGGTGAGTCGCTAGTATGTATAGTCGCAAGGAAATTTTAAGATCCTTTAAATGATAATTTCACTAGTGGAATTATAATTATCCGGAGTTTTGTTATTCGCCTCCTTTTCTTACAATATCACGGGACAATTCACATTCAGTGAAATTGTGAATCGATCACCGATTGGTCAGATTTAGACATCTTTTTGGATGCGCTGCATAACCCATATAATTAAGTTTAAGATTTAAGACTACGTGAAATAAAGAAATAGAAATGTAATATTATTAATTATTAATCATTTAATTATTATTTATAGGCTTATTAGAAAGTATAAATAGTTAGCAAAAAATAATCTTTACTTGCTATGTGTTCAATAAAATGTGACAATAGTTTTCACTCAGAATTACACATGCATACAGTTACGCTTCGCTCCCAACCTACGTTTCTCTTGATTCTTTTCAACTTATGTTATCTAAATCGGATCAGTCACCTAGTCGAAAATTAAAAATTGCTAATAAATAATCTTCTTAAATTAAAAAAATAGTCTGCTTAGTTTCAAACTTTCTATAAGTACAATATAAAAATCTTAACACGGGTTGTAGTACTATCTATGATCTATGTTGAAATGGGGAAGAATTTTGCGTTTTTCTTCCGCCAGATGTCGCGATCACTATGGCCCTCGTATATTCTAAAGCTCTATATACGTGTATGGTTTTTTTCATTTTAGTTCCGTGATTTTGTAAGAAAAGGAGACGATTGACAAAACTGGTTAATTATAATTTCACTAATAAAATTATAATTTAACGGATGTTACAATTTCCCAGCGACATTGTGCAAATAGAGCGAGCGAAAAAAAATAACGAATATTATGTAAAATACACTTGTAGAAATAGTTAAATTTAATAGAATGGTAATATGTTTGTTACCCTAAAGTAGCGACTTATTTTATTATTTTATATTTACCTATATCCAATACTGTAAAGTGCGAGCGAGCTTTGATGGGATCAAATGATTTATTTCATGGTTTTTCTACTAGTTAAAACTAAATTGAATACATGCATTAATAATGTTATTTTAGAAAACTATAACAACATATTAGAATATTACAATATTGTTTTTTAATTGTGTAAATCTGTTAGCAGTTTTAGTCTGTTGAATTAGCTGTCATTAAATGTCAGTGTAAAGTGTATTATTTTTTATTGTAGGTTACAAAATAAAAATATTATTATGTTATTGATATTGACTATCAGAGTCACATAATTTTGAGAAAATGAAATATTTTATTATATCAAAGAGACTATTATATAAATATAACAAAATATGCAGACGTGGAATTACAACAATTCGTTCTAAAGATTGGCAAAGTGTTGTCGGGTTAGAGGTGCATGCACAATTAAATACGGAATCAAAACTCTTTTCTGGTGCTGAAAATACATTTGGTGGCTTAGTGAATAATTGTGTTGCGTTATTTGATGCTGCTATTCCGGGAACTTTGCCTGTTCTTAATCAAAAATGTGTAAAACTCGGCGTATTGACAGCCTTAGCTCTCTCCTGTAAGATAAATGAAGTATCGAGTTTTGACCGTAAACATTACTTTTATGCAGACTTGCCTTCTGGTTATCAGATAACACAACAAAGGGCCCCTTTGGCTAGTGATGGAGTTATTAATTTTCAGGTATCTTATTTGATAGTTATACAACTATTGTTACCAAGTTTCAATGTAATTTATTTTTAATATATCTAATATAGATGGCATTTTAAATGTATTATAGTGTTTTCTTTTATTTATAGGTTTTCACACCAGGTGTTCACAAAAAACCATACAATAAGAGTTCGAAGATAAAACAAATTCAGTTAGAGCAAGACAGTGGCAAGTCACTACATGATGCAGAATTAAAAAGAAGTCTAGTGGATCTCAACAGGGCAGGGGCCCCACTTATTGAACTTGTATTTGAGCCTGATCTTGAGGTTAGTTATATAAAAAAAACTAACACAAAAGACATCATTTATGAAATCTATGAAATTATGTTAAACATTTTTTGTATTTATTATATTATGTATGTTTTATTTACTTTTAGGGGGCCATTCAAGTAATACGTAAGCACCAATGGGGTGGGGCGGTCTTGCTTTGCTTACTTTTGATGACATAGGGGACAGGGTGGGGTGGATGGTGATTACATCAACAATATTTAATTATTTAAAATAATTAAAATTTGTTTTTGATTTGTCAAACCAATGTTTTTAGAACACACATGACTATGTCTATGCTCAAAAACAAAAAGCATGTTCAGGGATTCTTTGAAATAATTAAGACATAATGTTTACATAAGCATAGGAGGGGTGATTAGGAGCTTTGCTTACCTTTGCTAACAAGGGGGAGGAATAGGTTAATAATTACTTAAATTCTGCTTATGTAATACTTGAATGGCCCCTTTGCAAAAAAATATTGTGAGGAAACCTGCATGTCTGAGAGAACCTAGCAAGTTTTCAAAGACATGTGAAGTCTGCCAACCCGCACTTGGCCAGCGTGGTGGACTATGGCCTAATCCCCCTCATATTGAAGGGAGGCCCGTGCTCAGCAGTGGGACGTTAAGAAGGGCTGAATACATACATACATACATTATGATATATATAATTACTTGGAGATATTACCATATTATTGTATAATATGTAGTTTAAATTAACTGATATTACAGGATGGTGAAGAAGCCGCGGCTCTGGTAAAAGAGCTTGTATTAATAGTACAGAGGCTAGGTGCATGTACAGGGCGTATGGAAGAAGGAGCATTGAGAGTGGATGCCAATGTCTCTTTAAGACGTTTTGGAGATCCACTTTCAACACGCACGGAGGTACTAAAATCCAAGAGAAATCTATACTAAACATTGAAATGTAGGGACAAACCCGAGCGAAGCGAGGGTGAGTCGCTAGTATAACATAAAGTCTTATGTCTCATAGAAGATCAATTTTAATCAAATTTCATAGTTATTTAGTTTACAGTACAGTAGTACAGTAGTACATTATAAAAATTGAATTATTGTTGTATTATTTACCTTACTATTGAAATCAATTATATGTCTCATTTATTATAGACTGGGTCACTTTCTTGGTAATCTTAATATATTAGATTTTCATAACTGGAATGTAAAATTTAAGGTGTTTAAATTGCTTAAGATATGCACATACTTAAGTATCCATACTAATTTTATAAATTCGAAAGTAAATCTGTTTGTTTGTTACCTTTTCATGACTAAATGGCTGAACCTGAAAATTTAGATGAAAATTGGTATGGTAGGTATCCTATGTCCTTTCCAAGGTCTCAAACTATCTTCTTACCAAATTTTATCTAAATCGGTTCAGTAGATCCAGAGATTACCCCCCTACAACGTCACAAACTCATAATCTAACAAACTTTACCCCTTTATAATATTAGTATAGATATAGATAAATAAAATAAAATTTTGTATATAAATAAAAATCATATCACATTCTTTGAAACTTGAAAGTACCTTTTAATTGGAATATCAATTAAGAAATACTTGTGTCATTAAGTATCAAATACTCATTTACACGTAACTGTAGTTGGTTTTATTAGGGTCACCAGGTCGCTTGACTATTTCTTTAATGAGTAACTAAACAATGTGGAAGCAATCAAATAAATGAATATTTAATAGCATATAAATTATAAAATTTCTTGAAAATAATGATGACGTTTGGTGCTTTATGTATTTTTTTTTAATATTAAGTATTTTACCGCACATTCGAATCAGGTGCAAAGTTCAGTGAGATAGCGTAATAATAAATAATTATATTTTAGCTATAATTATTACCACTGATCTATACATATAATAAAATTCTGAGTTGAATCTGTACATAAAATTTCTTTTGAAAAATGTTATTGAAATAGTCATTATTATCGATACAGAGGACAAATCTATAGTTTTTACAATTCTTGTCGGTCTGTCTGTCTTTGACCGCATCACGAGAAAACCATTGAACAGATTTTGATGAAATTTGGTATGACAATAGCTAGTTATTCGGGTCAACAAATAGGATACTTTTTACTGCGGGTAAATATCTCATCTCTGAGAAATCTATACTAAACGTTAAAACGTAACTAGTTTAATATATTTTTTTATTATCTTTATACAATTAAAGTTTTTTAATTTATATTTATTCAAAAGTAGATATTAATTAAACATAAATATTTTCTTCTACAGATTAAAAATATAGGATCAGTGCGTGGAGTTGCGGGCGCGGTCAAACATGAAATAGAAAGGCAACGTCAAATATTGAAAAATGGCGGTCGCATTATAAATGAAACTCGTTCATGGGACGCCACCGCTAAAGTAACAATACCCATGAGAGATAAAGAAGTTGTCCAGGACTACAGGTAAATATTTTAATTAAAAATTTTGTATTTTATATAGGATTTTTTTTAAATTATTCAATATTTTAACATAACTTACTATAGATGAAATAATGTAGAGGATATAATAGCTTTCAAGTTTGGTTTTTGATTTATTCAGATTTTACCTAAATAAGCAAGTCATTGTAACTTGGGAAGTGAAAATGAATTTCATATTTTAAATATTTTTACAAAATATTTGCTTTGATTATTTATTCATTCAAGATTTGCCTTTATTTTTTTCAGGTACATGCCAGAACCAAATCTTCCCCCATTACGAGTCAATCTCAAAACAAAAGATGATAGTGAAGATGTTATAAGTGTCCCATTAATTAAAGAACAAATTCCTGAGCTACCAGAAGAATCTAGAATAAAATTGATAAATCAGTATGAACTACGGCCTGAAATGGCTGTGCAACTCGTCAACGAACCTGTTTTATTAGACATTTTTACAAATATAACCGTAGAAAAGTCTAGAAACCCTACAAAAGTTGCAAATCTTCTCCTAAACGATCTTTTAACAGTACTTAATAAGAAAAAAATAGACGTCGAGTATTGTCCTGTAAATTGGAAACAATTATCAGATATTATAGACTTGTTATTGTCAAAGAAAATTAATTTAGATGTTTGTCGTAAAGTTATCGAGGAACTTGTTCAAGGCTCCAATTTATTGCCCATAGAAATAATTAAATCGAAAGGCTGGTTAGTGATAACTGATGAATCGGAAATTTTAAATAGGTGTTTAGATGTGATTAATAATAATCCTAAATTGGTGAAGCAGTATAAAGATGGGAAAATTAAAGTATTTAAAGCTTTATTAGGTTTATTGGCTAAGAGCACAGATAATAAACTCGATATGGCAATGGCGTCCAAAAAAATGGAGGAGCTGCTAAAGAAATAAATGTTTTTTTATTTTCATAATTGAGTTTTATTTTGAAATCTTACCTACATTTTATTATCTACATGTACATAATATATATTTTTTAAGTTAAAAAAAAACTATTTTCTATGGAAACTTGTTAGAAGTGAAACTTCATAGGTTATATATATGTACATATTTCAAATCTGTTAGATTAATAAATTAATAAAAACTTTTAATATTAAACTCCTTGTCAGATAAAAATATGATTCAAACGAATATCACACAAGAGGAGAGAATAATACTTATCTCTTTCGATCTGGACACATATATCGCGATACATCTATCGCATATACTCTGAGGGACGAACCCGAGCGAAACATTATAAATATTTTGCATATTTGAAAACAAATTAGACCTACATATAACATAGCTATTTTTCTCATTAATATTATTATTTGATAACTGTAATATACACAGAATTCTATATATTAAATGTAAAGGAACTTGATATATAGTAAATCTCGAAAATCTTATTGAAATAGATATTATTATCGATACTGAGGCCGAATCTATAATTTTAGAATTTTTGTCTGTCTGTCTGTTACCGCGTCACGGAAGAACCACTGGACGAATTTTGATGAAACTTGGTATGTTGATAGCTGGTTATTCGGGTCAACATATAGGATACTTTTTATTGCGCGAAATCTAATTTCTGAGAAATTTATACTAAACGTTAAAACGTAAGGGCGAACCCGAGCGGAGCGAGGGTGAGTCGCTAGTATTCTCTAAGAATATTTTTAGGGATTTATAACCGAGCAGGGCTTATTCACACTATGCTACTTACAGTGTTGAATTTAGTTTATATTGGTGGAGACTAGATTCTTTAAATAATAATTATATATATATATATATATATATATAAATATATATATATATATATACATAAAAATGAATGTTGCTAAGCGCAAAACTCGAGATAGCCTCGACCAATGCAGCAATTTTTTTTCGTTTGATCCTTAAGGTACACGGAAAGTTTTAATAAGGAGAAAAAATATAAAATAAGGTAATTAATAAAACAAATTTGTCTTAATTACACCATTTATAGCTCAAAAACAACTGGACCAATTCTTATGATATTTAATTTTTTGAATTTCTCTTAGTCCGAAATAGGATAATAAGTATCTATTAAAATATCAGAAAAATTAAAGAAAAAAAAAATTATATGGCTAACGCTGGCTAGTAACGATTTATATCTATTTAAAACGTACCTAGCGACGAACCCGAGTGAAGCAAGGGCGAGCCGCTAGTTAATTATATAAAAAAGGATTTGTAGGTAAAATTTGTAAAATAATTATTTGATTCTATTAGTTGCCATCTTGAGAGGAAAATGGGTGGGAAAAGCGTTGTAACTTGTATTGTTTTATGATTCAATGAAAATAGTCGTATTAATAGGTACTCTCGTAACATTTGTGTAGAAGTAACTATTTAGTCTGGATTATGTTCACTTATTTGTTGTGAGGCTACATAATACTTACCTATATTACTAAATACTTTAGGTACAGGTATATATTATTTTAATTGAATAAAAATAATAGTGCATTAAAAAAACCTAAAAGATTTTTTTTCATATAACTTAAAAAAATATATCGAAGCAACATTAATTTTCTCTATTATTTTCCATTATTTTATCATGAATTATACAGTGGGCGTTATATGGGAACTGTTGGTTCAAATGAAAGTAGATGCAATCACAGTTGTATTTCAAATTAACAATAATCACTTTGTACATAGTTAAACAGCACTTCACTACACAGCCATATACCACTTCACTATTACCATGTATAGACAATACGTAACGCAAGACAGTTCCTAGTGGAGCGGTCCTAAGCTTGGCTCGGCTCGAAGGCAAGTGTCTAGCCCTCTTAGCACCCCTCCCTTAGCTAGGCTCCGTCGTAGCACGAAGCTCGCCGAGTGTTGGCGATAATACCGAAGGTGCTGCCATCACTCAGGCGTCGTGCCGCGCTTCGTTTAGCGACCGTATTGATGACCGTCTCCGACACGGCCATCCTGCGTGCACACGCCCTCGTGTGTTAGCCGTGTGTTAGCCTGCAACCAAATAATCAACGAAAATACTTGCTCGACTCGGTCAATCCTGACCAGATAAAACTTAACTTTGAATCTGAATCATCTTTATTCTAACGAAAAGCTTTAACGCTAACACCTTTGTTTTTTTTTTAAACTCCAAGTCACTGTAACTATCTCTAATCTAATAACATTAGTCATCCAGAGCCATGTACCAACATCATTCAACACTTCAGCAATGAAACTAATTTTCAAATTTACTAGCACCTCTGTAAACCACTCTTAGGCCACGGCTTTACAAGCCAACCAGCAATCACAATTGCTCCACAATCCAGGTGCATCCACTACGGGATCACCGTATGTATCATCCTCTCGATGACTACACACTATGGTCATAACAGACCCCGACCTCCGCCAGAACTAAACGCACATCACACACCCACGGTCTATATAGTTTGAGCTTCCTCAAAAGACCGACTTTTACTAGGCTATGACTACGTAATAGTTACTAGTACGGTCGACACTACTACGGCCGTCAGAATGCTTACATCGGTTTCCATCGACTTCATTAAAACATTTGCTTGGCATGATGATCATTATTTAGGCACAAATTCAGAATTGGGGACTTGGCCCCTAGCGGAGTGGGTGGTATTTCTGGATAAGGGACATGATAGGGAGTCGAAATGTTAAATAAATTTTTTAATACAACAAAAGATTCAAAAGTTATTGAGACTTAAAGTTACAACATTTCCATACATTTTCATATATTTCTTTACCACCATTCGGAGTGGGTGGTATTTTTAGATAGGGGAGGTGACAGAGAGTCAAAATATATTAAAAATATTTGGAGGAAACGTACGACTAAAAAGTTATTGAGACTTAAAGTTATAACATATCTAACACATTTCCATACATTTCTTTACCTAAATAAGTGATTACAACAGATAAACATACCTTTAACGAATAGTACGCATCCTTTTTTATGTACATTACACATTTTCACAACAATTAATGCTTTATTGTATTTAATATTTTAATAATTTCACAACACAAACAAAATGATCTTACATTTTGACAAAAGCAAAACTGACACTTTGTTTTATATTACCGCTTAAATGACAACAGATTATATTTGATTATTTTTGCTTTTTCTGTTGGTAAAATATTAATATTAATAAATAAATAAATAAAAAGAAAAATATTATTTTCACTTTATAAATACATTTATAACTTTTTATTTGATTTATGTAAAATATATTGTTTTACAATTGTACATTTAGTAAAAAAAATCATTTTTTTATCTGTGAATATTTTTAATTATTTATTTATTATTCGTCATATCTGGGTTAGGTTAGGTTAGAACATTTAAGATTATTTATTTATTATTCCTCATATCTGGGTTAGGTTAGGTTAGAACATTTAAGATTATTTATTAATTATTCGTCATATCTTGGTTAGGTTAGGTTAGAACATTTAAGATTATTTATTTATTATTCCTCATATCTGGGTTAGGTTAGGTTAGAACATTTAAGATTATTTATTTATTATTCCTCATATCTGGGTTAGGTTAGGTTAGAACATTTAAGATTATTTATTAATTATTCGTCATATCTTGGTTAGGTTAGGTTAGAACAGTTGCCACAACGCCCCCCCAACGTGCGTTCACCTTGTCGTGGTGGGGGGGCTCAGTAGTAGTAGCGAAGCTAAGAAACGCACAGGGAGGTTTCCCATTTCGGTGGGCGGTGGGAGGTGGCCCTCTTTGGGGGGCGGTGTACCATGCGGGTTGCTCCTGGTACTTCTCTGATAGCAGAGTGGACTGTGGAGCAACCCCATGGTTGTGGTGGTCTGCTTCGGCAGACCTGCCGTCGGGGCGTCGTAGTTGAATGCGTAAGCGATCCTGCGACGCCCCATTAAGACGGGGGAAGGTTTTGTTGGGTTTTAGTGGGTAGTACTGGCTGTATTACGCCGGTGAGTCCCACACGTCGTGCGTAAATGCATTTCCCAACGTTAAAAAAAAAAAAAAAAAAAAAAAAAAAAAGTTGCCACAACGCACGAGCCGAGCGAGCGAAGCGAGCGTGCCGCGGTAGCGGCCGGCGAGTGCCATAAATGACTAGAAAACTAGAAAATTCGAATTTCACGCAAAGTACAAATAAAGACAATCATCTGGAGATCATTTTGACAATTGAAAGTGACGTTTTGACTCCAAGTGTCTAAATGGTAGTAATGTCAAAATAATGTATGGAAATGTTATAACTTTAAGTCTCAATAACTTTTGACTCTTTTGTTGTATTAAAAAATTTATTTAACATTTCGACTCCCTATCACGTCCCTTATCCAGAAATACCACCCACTCCGCTAGGGGCCAAGTCCCCAATTCTAAACGGCCGCCATTATTTACATCAACCTCTATTGGTACATGACCTACTAGAATTTTTGTGTAAAGAATTTATAGACGTCATGTTAATAGAAAACCTTTCAATATCTCATGTTCTATCATGATACCATTTTGTAACTAATAATTAGGCAAAACATAATATTTCAAAAGATTTCAAGAGAATGACCGTTAATCGTTACAAAACAAATTTTACTCTGTGCGGAATATTCCGTTTTGATCAATACTAGAAATTGCAAGGACAAAATCGTTAACCACACAATATGACTGCTAAATGTTATCTTACTAACGAATATTCAGCACCATGATTATAACAAAAGCAATACAGATTACCTCTATGCCATTGAGCATTCGAAGATGGTTGTACAACACATACATCCACGCGTCGTTCCGTTCGTGTTGCACCCATATTGCTGCCGTCCACTTGACTGGCACTACTTATGCACCGGAGCGTGATGTGACCAGGCTTGCCACATTTGAAGCACACCAGAGACTTCACTGCAGGCTGCAATGCCGTTGCTGTCATCGAAGGTCGTTCCACGCTGTCATTTACCTTGCTTCTACACTCTGACCGCTTAAGACTCACTTTTCTGCACTTATAACATTTTTACATTAGCTTGGCTCGTTTAGCATCAGGCACTTTTGAAAAATCATCAGATAAACTAGCTTTGCGTTTCAAATGTGAGAATCGATCTCGCGAAGGAATTTTCGTAGTAACGCCAATCGTTGTAATTTCGAATTAAACTGACATAAGTGAGCAAGGACAGTCGCAATTTCTATCTGATTCTTGCTAGCGTCTTTCCAACGATTAGTCTGTGACGTCATCAGGCGATTTGCGTACGTAACGAGTTTCTTTTTTCATTTGGTTTGTCACTGTTAAAATTAATTAGCGTACCAGCCAATGTCTCGGTGGAAATAAATCTCGCCTTGAAAATCACCTTGAACTCTTCCTATGTTATTCTCTGGTATACAAATTGTGACAGCCACGTCGACCCTTATCCTTTTAATTCCTTACTGACTGTTAAAATAAGCTAGCCGCCGTATGGAGGGTAGTCGGCAAAACACAAATCTACAGTCGCAAATCAAGATCTTGCGTCCGTATCCATATTGTCAGGGTCAAACTCGCGTAACTTGACGTTCTTCTTCATCCGAGGCATTTGCATGGCCTCGATAAGAGATCACATACTGACATTTTTTTGTTCAAACATAGCACGTCATTGTTCACTCAGAGTTAGTTCTTTTTGCAATTGAACCAACACTGATCCCGCTTCTGATATCGAAGCAACATTAATTTTCTCTATTATTTTCCATTATTTTATCATAAATTATACAGTGGGCGTTATATGGGAACTGTTGGTTCAAATGAAAGTAGATGCAATCACAGTTGTATTTCAAATTAACAATAATCACTTTGTACATAGTTAAACAGCACTTCACTACACAGCCATATACCACTTCACTATTACCATGTATAGACAATACGTAACGCAAGACAGTTCCTAGTGGAGCGGTCCTAAGCTTGGCTCGGCTCGAAGGCAAGTGTCTAGCCCTCTTAGCACCCCTCCCTTAGCTAGGCTCCGTCGTAGCACGAAGCTCGCCGAGTGTTGGCGATAATACCGAAGGTGCTGCCATCACTCAGGCGTCGTGCCGCGCTTCGTTTAGCGACCGTATTGATGACCGTCTCCGACAAATATATCAGCTACAAGTAATTAAACAATGATGTTTACAAACAATAATGTTTAAATACAATTTCTTTTGCTCTACTAGGTATATCCCGCCTATGAAATTCGTGAAATTTCTGCTATCAAATCTTACCTCTCCCATTCCTTGCAGGACTCGAAAAATAAAGAATTATTAGCACTTCCGGCACTGACAGAGATAATAAGTATGAGTGACAAGACGTGCTACATCAAAAATAACTTTTACGTAGTCATATACTTTGCTATTAGGACATACGCAGGCGTTAAATTAATTTAATTATATGATGCAAGTAAATAAAAATAGATCTGTCTTTATACTATGGCTGTTTTCGATTAAATGCAAAATCCTTGTAAGTACTTAAATTATATACGTGTAGTATATTATTACTCATAGTAAAGTACCGTGGTTGGGTGGATCACGCTAATTCGGACTAAAGCGGGTAAAAAATACCATAGTCTTATCAAAGATTTATAATATGTTAGTTTTTCAAATTATATGTTTAATTATTATAGCTGGGGTCTCATAAAGAACAAAGAAAAATTAGTTCCAATAAATGAAAATAGATGGCGATAGGTGTATCGTGTATATTAAAGAAAACAAAATGCTCTGGCAATATGTCTGATTATTGAAAAATCAGCAATAAGTCTCTTGCTGTCCTGGGGCAGTACTACCACAGATCATATAATACTATACTAGGCACTAGTGTAGTATTATGTGCTCTGTGATTATTTTTATTATTTAAAAAAGATAAGAGAATAATATATTAATAATTAATCAGATAATATTATTTAATGGCTGTGTGGGCCGTGCAAATCAATATGAACTCAAATTGGCCAAGTAAAAGTTTTGAAATCACTGATATATGATAGACATTATTTACATATATATTATTATTATTTTTTATTAATTTTAATTATTAATGAACACGTGGTATTAAGTTAACCTTCTATTAATCTACAATATTAGCTTTTACCTAAATCAATAGGTACATTAGATTTGTTTACAAATACTTGGTATGCAGAGTAAATTAAGGTTGTTTGTTGACCATGCCGTACGCGCCCCGAATATTACAAGATACAGGAGTTGACAACTTTTTACATGTTTGTTCATTAATTAATTATTTTTTTATTGTCGTAGAACAGTGGTAGCAATCTTACTCGGAAACCAAGCGAAGTGGGTTGAAACCTCGTATCTCGACTCACGCATGATATTTTCACGTGGGAAGTAATTTCAACATGATTGTTTAGGCTTAAACATCTCACATCTGCTTCACTCGGTTTCCCAAGCGAGCGCGTTACCACTGGGCTACACTGCCTCACTTAATTTAATATTTTAAATATTATTTGAATTTTTTCCTATTATTTTTTTGTCCTGAAGTAATTAACCTTGATAAGTATATGTTGACGACACGTTTGGCTCAGTGTGTAGTGTCCTACTTGCTGTGCCAGCGGTCGCGGGATCTAGTTCCGCTGGGGGCATTCATTGTGTGATGAGCACGAATGTTTGTACTCCAGTCATGGGTGTTTATATTTATAATATGTATTAAAGTTTATATATGTGTAGTGTATCAACTATCTGGTGTCCATAACACAAGCTTTGTGCTTACCATGGAATTAGATGGTACTGTGTATTAATAAATATATTGGTATTTTAAGTTAATTAATTTAAAAACCGTTAAAACTGTGCGCAGCATCTGTATACTTTCCTTATTGAAACAAAACAAATTCTGATACTTTCAATTACTCTTTAATCACGTCTTATTACACCATTGCATTACTCTGTCACATTACATTGTAATCAATTACCAATCAACAAGCTAGTAAGACTGACTTCAACAATGCGATCTCTCTTGCTTGCTGTTTTTCTTTTTACTTCTTATATTACTGCTGAAATGACGGCGCCAGGAATAGAAAGAACTGTCAGCGATGGTGTAAAAAGCATGGGATATAATGTCATATATGGGGATGAGGATTTTGTTGTCATAAATGAAGTTGTACGAGACTCAGAAAAAGCAGTTTCTTGGAAGAAAAAAAATAATTTAAACCAAGTTATTCCGCCGCTGCCCGTTGAAGACGTTAAGTGTCTAATGTCAGTTGACAGATATTGTTCAAAGGAAATGGGGGAAATGAAAAGTGAGTCTTTATGATTATAAATTTATTTAAAGAACTAGCACTGCCCGCGGCTCCGCCCGCGTTCAGATGACACAAAAACCAAACTCTTAGGTTTTACATATTAGTATACTCTTACATTGCATTTTTTGTACTTCTTCTCAGAAATGAGACCTTTTCCCGCGGTAAAAAGTTCCTCCTCCCTCCTCCTATATGTTGACCCGGATAACCAGCTATCACCATACCAAATTTCATCAAAATCCCTCCAGCGGTTTATCTGTGATGCGGTAACAGACAGACAGACAGACAAAAATTCTAAAAACTATCGATTCGGCCTCCGTATCGATGATAATGTTTATTTCAATAACATTTTCCAACAACTATCTAATGTACAGATTCGGCTTAGTTACAATTTTATTATATGTATATAATAAAACTAAGTGGACTTGATGATAATATAAGCTAATATAATTCTGAGCGTGCCTTTACAGTTAGTGAACCAAGTTAACAATTATTAACATACGCATACTTATTTTATAAATACTTTAACAGTTTATTTGCTTTTAGATATTTTAATAGAAGCTCTTAAGGATGATTGTGCAAAATGTACAAGTAAACAAAAGGAGAGTGCTGGTAAGGTGGTTGCCTCGATGATGGCGCATGATGCTGTTGCGTGGAAGCTATTTCTCACCAGGTACGACAGCCTCAACAAAGTACAACGAGTTCTTGGATAAAATAACCATGTAAGAATATTTTTTGTATTAAAATCATTTGTCCAAGAGAGAATTGTATGTTGGTCGATAGCATCGTTACTTCTAAATTGTTTTTGAGCAACATACACACATATTGCTTATGCTACAGGTTAAAGATAAAAAGTAAAAAAAAATGTAATTTGTGAATTATATTTCAGGTCAACCCTACTATTATTACCTAAACAGAAACAACCCCATGAAGAAAGACCTAAATACAAAATTGTTAAAGAACTCGGGTACGTTGAAAATACTAAAAATAGATACACAATGCCTGGAGTGAAAGTGAGAGTTAAAAGATATGTCACGGAAAAACTGAATTGAGCAATTTTTATTGTACTTATATTGTATGTATAATATGCTGTTTATTTGTTACTTCTGAATAAATGATATTTTGTAAGTTGTAGTTTATTACTATTTTGACTTGGTGGTCCAGTGGTTAGCATGTTCGAACGCAGATCTGGAGGTCCTGGGCTGCAGTCCCAGGTCGGGTCAAGTTAAATTATTGAGTGTTTCTTTTAAGGAATTCTCAATTGGGATGTTGGCGCTGTTACACCTCCATGCCTAGGGGAGCATGTAAGCCCCCCCCCCCCAACGTGCGTTCACCTTGTCGTGGGGGGGGGGGGGCAGTAGTGCCCAGCAATACAGCCGGGCGCGAAGCCAAGAAACGCACATGGAGGTGGCCCGCTTCGGTGGGCGGTGGGAAGTGGCCCTCATCGGAGGCCGGTGTACCATGCGGGGTAGCTCCTGGTACTTCTTTGATATCAGAGAGGACCTTGGAGCAACCCCGCGGTTGCTGTGGTCTGCTTCGGCAGACCTTCCGTCGGGGCGTCGTAGTTGAATGCGTAAGCGATCCTGCGACGCCCCATTAAGACGGGGGAAGGTTTTGTTGGGTTTTAGTGGGTAGTACTGGCTTCGCCGGTGAGTCCCACACTTCGTGCGTAGATAAATGCATTTCCCAACGTTAAAAAAAAGGGGGAGCATGTAAAGCCGTGGGTCATGCGCCTTGACTCTCACAAGTCTTGTCAAATATTATCCTATCGGGCTTTGAGAGTGAAAACCAATAATGAGTGCACTGGTGTGAGGTGTTTATGCCTACACACGCTGCACAGTGCAATATAATATCTCCTGCGCATTTGGCTAGTTTCACTAAGATATGAAACTGCTGTGACATTAAATATTTATTTAAAAAAGATCTTTGAAATTTTGTTTAAGTAGAAGTTTAAAATAAAAATCAACTTATACACATTAACACAATATCTAGAGATTATTACATAAAAAATACTTAATTATTATTTAACCATGACACCACAGAAATCTTAATAATAACTTATTATTAAGATTTCTGTGCATGACACACATTCTTAAGAAGTTCAAATTCTTAAGATTTTTGGTGACTACTCTATACGCATAATAAAATTGTAACTAAGTCGAATATGTACATTAAATATTTTTTGGAAAATCTTATTGAAATAAACATTATTATCGATACAAAGGCCGAATCTATAGTTTTTAGAATTTTTGTCTGTCTGTCTGTTACCGCATCACAGAAAAAGTACTGAAGGGATTTTGATGAAATTTGCTATGGTGAGCTGGTTATCCGGGTCAACATATAGGTTATTTTTACCGCGGGAAAATGTCTCATACCTGAGAAACAAAATACAAAAACTGCAATGTTAGAGTATACTAATATGTAAAACCTAAGAATTTGGTTCTTGGTCACCTGAACGCGGGCGGAGCCGCGGGCAATGCTAGTTGAAAATAAAATCATAAGTGATACCCAAAAACTTTAATAAGCGACTTTCCTAAATCAAATCCTATTTTGCTGCAGAAGTCTTTACTATTTGTGGTATAACATTTTAAAAATATTATAATGTTGAATTATTCCTTGATGACTTGTCCCGAAGAATGTCCATTGCTTTCTTCATCATCATTTTCGTCGTCGTCTTCAGCCACATTTTCATGTTCATTTAATTTCTCTTTACTGACCAAGTACTTCAATTTGTATGTACCGTCGGAATTGTATCTGGAAATATTAACAATATTTTATGAATTTGCTTTCATTGATATTTAAATTTTTATACCTACTAGCGACTTACACTTTTCCTCTCGGGTGCTTCCCAATGCTTGAATGGTTTAGGAACGCATAAAAGGCAAACGTCCAAAGATTTTTTTTAGGCCAGGAACTTTCACAAGCGTGGATGCCCCAAGCGGGACTCGAACCCGCGACCGCTGGTACAGAAAGTAGGGTCACTACAAACTGAGCCAAACGTGTCGTCAAATGTTGTCATATCTTAAGATTGTGTCTTTTGAACCATAACATTTTAGCAGTATATGTGTATTTAAGTGTTTTTTTATATATACATAAGAGACATATTTAAATTTAGGTGATTCCCCGTACAAAAACTACCTATAAGTTGCAAATAATATCGAGCATAGTCTAGGTATAGGTGATAGCTGCGAAGAATATATATAATGAAAATATAGTTAATACTAAGTAGAAGCCGAACAAACGAACATTATTTTTTATTTAAATTAGATAAGTTGCCTATACACACATCAAATATCACATAATAAATTTAACCATAATATGTAAGAAAACATCAGAAAAAAATATATTTTCATCTTAAAAAAAAATTTCGATTACATATACTTTTACAAATATCAATGTACTTAGAATGAGCTTATTAATCCTTATATTTGGCATTAATTTTTACTAATATAATTGTATATATACTTGTTCTCCAGCTTATCCCAGTCCTCTGGCTTATGGTCAATTATGTAATGCATAACTTTGTCGGCACCGACTTTTTGTTTATCAGTGCATTTTTTGCAGTCGTTCTCAATTGCATCTGGAAGGTTCACTAGAAATAAAAAAGACCAAATAAATTGCTAACACAGAAGTAGTTCTAATCTACACTGTCTAAGGCTAAGCAGACTCTCATACTAAACTCTTTTGTGCAAATGAATATTTTTTTTATAATTAAGAGCATATTTTTGTTGAGCTATTTCTTAGTTTCGATTGTTTTTACTCACCATACAATACTGAGATAGGTATATGATACATCATTTGCCAATATAATACGATATAATGGAAACAAAACGTGATAATGGAGTAAAGAAAATAAAAACATGAAATGTAATTGATTATATAAATAAATTTATGTTAAATAACTTTACAATGAACAACAACAGGCGTTTGATATATGTATATAAAAAAATTCGCCTGGCAGTAAAAATAGCAATTTCTTAAATAACTCACTTTTCAATTCTTTCCCATCAGGGGTACATGGTCCTTTATCCAATAAGCAGTTAACGTAACCTGCGAGTAATCTGTCACTGGCCAGTATTTCATCGAGATCAACACCATCATATTTACTTGTATATGTTTCATTACACTTATATTGATAGATAAAACAGAAGATCAATAGACTTTGTAGTATGATGTGCATATCTGAAAAAATATCATCACAATACATAAAAAAAACTACGTTTAAAAAACCAACTTCAAAAACTAAAAAGTATAAAATAACTTAATAAAGATTTAATTTAATACACCTCTTATGCAAACCTAATACCTTTAATATTAATAAAATACTATTATTTGTATGTGCTACCTATTAATAGGTTTAAAGTCGGTGCCAAGCAAAAATGTGTAGATAGGTACCTACACTCTCTGCGATCTGAGAAATCTATACTAAATGCATCGACTCCATTTTATACTTTTTAGTTTTTGAAGTCGGTTTCTTTAAACGTAGTTTTTATTATTTTTTTACATTTAGTGTCTGTAATAGGTTGTTCTGTAAATTACAGTAGGTAATAATGTAAAGATTGATTATAATATTGCTGAATTTCTCTACTCTCACGCTCGCTCCGCTTCAATGACAGGTAGCCTAATACCCACTTATCTCGACACGGGTTAATAATAATTAATAATATATAATCAACCTAAATGAAAACTCCTAAAAACGCCGTACACAAACTAAAATAAAATTACATCGTCCACGTAAACAAAAATTTCATTAAAAAAAATTCATAAAATGAAAACTACTGGGCCAAACTATGTTAAATTTTTATGGGACCAAATGGCAACTATTTCGCTTCAAACTAAAGAAGAATCACGTAAATCAGATCATAAATTTAAGCGTAATTGGTGTACATACATAAAAAAATCCAATCGAATTGAGAACCTCCTCCATTTTGAAGTTGGTAAAAATAGGTTTTTATCAAAATAAACAAAGCAATAGCTTCTAGGTATAATCCTTCAATCTGTAATTTATTCTATGCTATAATTAAGATAAGACAATAAATAACAAGGGAAAAATACGTATATTAAATACTTCGAGGTATTTAGATTGAAATCATGTTTATTTTTGTAGACGACAAAGCATGTTTATGGAATGAAATATGATTAGTTTTTGTTTTTTGTTGCTAGATTAGATTAGAGTAAAATACCTAATAACGAAACCATTTTACTTACTTCAAGACGGCAAAAATAAGAGAGCAACTAAAACTCTATTTCTCTAATAAGCAGTATGTTGGAAGAACTGATGTTGTTTTATATGTTGACTGTAGTTTTTATAAGTGCATAAAATTGGGATTATTATCCAAGAAAATCGCAATATGGACGTCGTAAATGATCTTTGATTTATGAAAAATTGGCTCCTCGACATGCAATTCTTGAAACCACTTTTTCACCGACTTTGTAAGAAAATATGTTCTGTTTTGTTGTGTAAATGATTTATTTCTTTTTCTTTATGTTCAACTACGAGTAGCTTCGCTTCGCTCGGGTTCTTTATTATTTTTTTGAGCGGAACGTGAATTGTTTTTCTAAAATAAAAGTAGCCTAAGTTACTCCTTACAACATCAGCAATCTGCCAGTGAAAGTCTCGTCAAAATCGATCCAACCATTTCGGAGATTACTCAGAACAAACAGACAGACAGAGATTTTTTTTAAAAATTGTGTTTTTTTTGTTAAAATACCGTATATAATTTCATATGCATTTAGTAAATAGCTGTTATTTTGACATTACAAACAGACACTTCAATTTTGTTTATCTGTATAGATGTATAGATTATAAGGAACATTGTAATAGTTCGAAGAAATATAACAATACAAACATTCATTAAAGGCATTTGTGAAGTCGTAACTCGTACTGCCTTGTTGGTCTAGTCACTAAATCATCATTAAATTAGACTCTAGTGCTTATACCTAAGTATACCTACGTTTATAGATTATTAGCAGAATCGGCGGCTTCGGTCGCACTAAAACTGCAGAAAGACCTCTAAAATGGTAGGTTTCATACAAACTTTCATCCGCTATTTTACCCCCTTATGGGATAAATTTTGGAAAATGCTAGAACACGTATTTATTTAATTTTATTGAAGAGCGATAATACCAAGTTTCAAGTAATTCTGATCATAAATATTTTTTGGATTGTATTATAACGTGTTTTCCCGTGGGAATTAGATAATCTCCCGCGGTAAAAAATATGTCATGCCCTATGTCACTCTCCAGCCCTCCAACTATCTTCACACAAAAAATCACGCCAATCCGTCACTCCTTTTCGACGTAAAAGAAGCGCAAACAAACACACACTTTCACATTTATTATATTAAGTATGGATATGGATACCGCGATGAGGGTAATAGAGGTATGTTACATAATAAATGGAAATACCTTAAGTACCTACCTACTTGCTAAAGGAATTGCAAAAATTAGCTTAAATACGTAATATAATTCTGTGAGATAGTAATTTTCTATTAAATAAAATGTATCACGTCGAATATATTACGAACTAGGCGATTCTTTACTTGTTTATGAATCAATTGAAATAAAACAAATACTAAATATTAAGTGAAGCTGAAGACCACAAGGCATTTGTAAAAACCACACCCAAATCGGTTAAGCCATTTTTATATAATAGTTTTTCTCAAATATCATCCATGTACAGACAGCGATCAATAATTGATCATCAATTATACTTTTATTATACTTATGTACATATATTGTATCTAAGTTATAGATTAAGGTCTTAGATTATTCTATAGAAGAAGTTAAAGAAAGGAGTGGGTAAAGGAAACATTAACATAAACATGACCGAGAAAACGCATCAAATGAGTAAGTAGATTCGAAAGTATTCTTAATGGCTATTGAAGAGTTCTAATATCCACCTTCTGGCTGAATACAAAAATTAGTTATCAACATAGTCAGTCAGTCAGTTTTATATTCATTAAAATCTCTATTAATATCAGACTCGCCGTGCTCAGTGCTACAACAAACGAAAATATGTAGTACCTACCTATGGGTAATTAATTAACTTTTATGAAATGACGAATTTAGGATCGCACAATCCTTGCTAATATTACAATTGTAAAATATTACTTTAATACTTAGAAAATGCAATGAAACAATATGATTGATTTATATTGGTTAAATAGTGTATGAACTGGAGAATGATATAGTATCTGCTTTGTTCCATTATACAAGTGGATCTTGTGGGAGAACTGTCTTTAAAATAGTTTGTATGTGGTGCAAGTTTTTTTTTAATGTTAGGAAATCTATTTAGGCATAGCACTTGCATATATACAGGTTATGTGAGTCTTACCGACAAAGCCGGTACAGTCTTACCCACAAACCAACGGAACCTCCCCCGCCTTAATGGATTGTTGCAGGATCTTACGCACTCAACCACGATGTTCCGAAGGCAGTCCTGCCGAGGCAGCCCTCAAAAAAAATGGGATTGCTCCAACAGTCTACTCTGCTATCAGAGAAGTACCTGGAACAACGAGTGCTGCAGGCCTAAACGAAGCGATATCAGTTCAGTAGTAAGTAAAATGGTTGTAAAGCATAATATACTAGCGACTCGCCCCCGCTTTGCTCGGGTTCGTCCCTAGGTTGCTTCCCCATACAAAAATTAATTTCCCTTAAGGGATGACTTCCGGGATAAAAGCTATTCTTTGTCGTTCCCAGGATTTCAAACTATCTTCTTACCAAATATCATTTAAATCGGTTCAGTAAAGCATTTACTATTTAAAACAAGATTTTATTTAAGTGAAACATAAATAACGAACATTAAATATTTTATTATTTAATTAAAGTTTGCCTTTGACTAACATAAAGAAATATACATATACTAGCATTGCCCGCGGCTCCGCCCGCGTTCACATGAACAAAATCACTTTTTAACAAAAAATAAAAACCGACTTCCAGGCACTAAAATGTAAAAAATAACTAAACGGAGGTTTTCATTCAGAATAGATACCTAATCAGATATTGTCGAAGTCGGTTCCAGCCGATGCAAAGCAAATCTAATATAATATATACGTAAAATACACATTTACGTATTAGATATTCATTTTATCTTAAAATATTGTAGGTATTGTATAAAAATCTTACTTAAAAAATATGGGTTACATCATATCGGTTTGTTTTTTGAAAAACATTTTTTATCATACGAAAATCATTCAACTATTTGAATGATAGGATAGAATTCCTGTTAATGTAATTGTTATTCAATCGAACAACGGAATAATTTTATTAAATTTCCTAATCAAGTAAGGGAGCTTATATTGGCTTACTCTCTCGTCTCGTCTATACATATCGTTGACTGCACTTGTTCTCGCTGATCACTAAAGTTAAGTAATGTCGGGCGCGGTCGTTATATATGTAGTTGTTACAGACAGCGCAGACAGTAATGCATCCGAAAATATAGTTTTATTTAATTTTAACGTTTAGTATAGACTTCTCAAAAATAAGAAATTTTCCCGCACTTAAAAAGTATCCTATGTGTTGACCCGGACAATGATGATAGCTATGATCAAAATTTGTCCAGTGATTTTCTTGTAATGCGGTCACAGACAGACAAACAGACAAAAATTGTAAAAACTATAGATTCGGCCTCTGTATCGATACTAATGACTTTTTCGATAAAATTTTCCAAGAAATATTTTATGTGCAGATTCGACTTAGTTATGATCTTTAATATATGTATAGGTAAAGAAAATTTGGCTAAAGAGATAATATTTTTCTCACAAAATTGTTTATCTCTTTAGGGATTGAGTTTAAAAAATCCGCTGTTGTTTAGTATGGGCACAGTTTATATAATACTACACTAGACATGAAACAGCGACGAAGGAGGCGGCGGCCGACCTTGCGCCAGAGGCAGCGCGAGCGACGTACGGCGCTTATCTTGATCGGGGGGCACGGCAGTGCCCCCGCCAAGTCGAGCAAAAAAGGATTATATTTACTAGTTATGTCTAACAGTAAAATAAAACACCAATATTTGATTGGTTGTTTATTTATATCTAATATATAAAATTCTCGTATCAGTGTTTGTAAAAAAACTCCTCCGAAACGGCTTGACCGATTCTTATGAAAGTTTATGTGTATATTCATGTTGTTTATGTGTAAACTATTTTTCATACCTCTACTTGATAAGGATCCCTTATA